ATATCGCGATTTACTACGATATTTCCCACTTTTATCTACCGAACTGGCCTTACGACTACGAATAGGTGATCGTGATCTCGAACGCGATGGCGACGGACTACTTGATATACTCGAAAGTGACGAGAGAGATTTCGTCTCGTCAGAGGGTCGTTTGGGGGATTTTTTCATGTTTTCTTCATCTTTATCTAAGGGTTTGCGGATATTTAATTTATCCCTCGTGAGAATACGGATCTTGAAACCCCTAGAAAAAAAGGATAAAAAATCGATTCAACATTTAATTTCGAATGAATAATTAATGGAGGGAGAAATAACATTATATTCATATATTTTTCCATACATATATTATTTATCAAATATATTTAAATAAACAAAATTAGATAATAGTAAAAATATTAAATTTTGCTAAATCAAGTTTTTATATATGCGAAATTAATATTTGAAGATAAATATTCACTTACGATTTAGTAGTATCTGATTTTGAGTCTGTTTTCTTCGGTGATGATTTTTCAGTTTTCTTATCTTCATTTTTATGTTTATCATCTTGTTTCTCATCGATAGGTTGAGAATCTTGATACAAGATTATTCAATAATTAATAAACAAAATGAATACTTATAAAAATATAAATACTATGTATTAGAAATTAAGTAAATTATCGTATACTCACCTTTTTTTGAATTACTATTACCAGTCATTTCTGCCATCTTCTCTTCAAAGTTTGTTACCCATCGCACATCGTAAACATCCATAAATGTTAATTCTGGCGTTTCCCTGCACGTAGGAAACAGCCATTGATTTTAAGGAAAAGTAAATTAAATTATGAAGATCATTAGCGCGCACTTTGTTGAATCACGTTCACAAACTTTCATAAAATCGCGAACTGAAGTGCTCACATCATATATCGCTCAACTGTGTTAAGCGAAAAATGTAGGAAGAAAAAAAAAAAAAAAAAGAAAAAAAAAAAAGAAAAAAAAAAAAAAATCATGACTTACCTAAAATGATAATCCTGATAGACCCTCTTGATATACTGCATTTTATTCTTTTCAAATTGATTCTTGTCTACTAATTGAGGTTGTAATCTTCCAAATCGTTCTTCAATCTTCTTAGCCACTAACACAGATATTTCATTAGCTCCACGTTTATAATTAGGTGTACGCGGTAATTCCGTAATTGCTCGCGATATTGTTGGAAAATGTCTATTTAGATAAGTTATTCTGTGATTATAACTGGCAATGTGAGCCATAACAGTGCGAGGATCACCTCGTTTATCACACAAAACACATGTATAACTTGGTTCACAAGAATCATTATCAACCAGTTCAAGTAAATATTCTAGACCAACAAGTGGAGAACTTCTATGTCGATCCAGACTCATCTGAATCGTAGTTGTTCTAGTTATTTGATCTTCCATACCAGGTGGTACTGGTTCTCCAGGTGCCAAACCATCACCAATGGCAGTTGATTGTACAGGTGGAGCTGTTTTCACAATGTCTGATCGTTTGGACCATAATAAAACTGGATATGGCCATTCATTTAATTTCATTTTGTGACGATTACATGTATTATGATTTAGTAATTTATGAGCTCCAAATAAAGCAATATTACATATATGACACCATATATCACCATCTTCTGTTTCAGAATACACAGGTCTAAGTGTGCCATCTTCAGCAGTGACACTACTTCTCATTAAACGTTTTCGATCATATTCTTCCTGTGAAATATAAATATCTCATAAAATGAACAGATAACTGTCATTTCAAGAGTATATCACAGAATATAAAAATATAAATTGACATTAATAAAAAATAATTTAAAATTAATAAAAATTATTTTAATAGAAAAACATGAATTTTCATTGCAAACTTTTAAGTTTAAATATTATTAAAATTAGTATAATAATTTAAAAACAAAATACATATGTTTACATTTAACTTTGACAAATGTGTATTGCAATATATATTTAAAATTCTAATTTTGTAAATTCCTTAGAAAGTTTTTTAAGCATTAATAAGTTTTTAAGCATTATAACTAACGATATTTTTACAAAACATTTTTCTAATATTACCTTTTCTTTATCTGCTTCTGATAAATGCGAGGGATTGCGTCCCTCTATGTCTAGATCATCAAAGTTTTGCATGGTCGATCCAAGTCTATGAAAAATTCTTCACGGTACTTTCTGAAAATATAAAAGTGTTATGATGTTTAAGAATGATAACAATGCAGCATTAGGGCCGGCGGGAATTAAAATTATAAAATTTAATAAAAGTGATATAATATATATAAATAATTGTATAATACATAACATTGATGATATGGAAAAATAAATTTTTAACTAATTATAAATAATAAATCTATAATTGATAATATATAAAAGTATATAAGAATTAATGTTATAAAAGTGATATTACTATTATAGCTAATATTTACTAATATCTATTATATAAATTATATAGAATGATAATATTATTTTATACGCCAACCCTGCAGCAGCAATTTAATTTATAACTACTTATTATTTATATTTTTTTTAAAGTTTATTACAGTAAAACTACAAATTTTAAAGAACTATACTTACCCATTTAATGTTGTATATACTATTATATTTAAACAATTTATATACACATATAACATTATTTAAATGTAAAGTTTCCATTAATACAGTTTTATTTTATTTTAAATTAAATAAAAACTAAGCATAACTTTGCATTTGAAAGCAAATAGCTTAATATTTAATATTTATATTATATATAGCAAAACACTGAATCGAGTGTTTTAGCACACAAAATCCAACACAAATTCTTAAATAATATGCTTATATGCTTATATGTAAATTTTTATAAAATAAACCACACTTTATAAAATAAATCAAATTTGATATAATATGTACTTACATTTAGGCTAATAACTCTAAAGAGTAATTGGGCTCCTAAAGGAATTGATTTTATTAAAAAAGATTTGTTTTTTTATAGAAGAAGTAATTTATATCATTATTATTATTATTATTATTATCATTAGTATTATTCTTATTGTTATCACTAGTATTACTATCTATAATTTTGCTGGAGTATAAGAATCAATCCCCAGCTACTTACCGATAAAAGGAAATTTCATATTTCCAATAATATTTCCAAAATGCACAAATACCACAAAACATTAAACAAAATGCACCATATAAAGACACTAATATTACGCAAAGTTAAGACTTAAAATAACTTTGCGAATAATAATAAAAAGAGAAAAACATAACCATTCAGGTTAAAATAAAATCATGTTATGTATAAAATCAACACAGCTAATACGAATAATGCTGTGAGTTTCATTGTAATAGGAGAATAAACAGGACTTATATAAACAATGTGTCTTTTTTATTAAGCGGTGCTTACTTAAATAAATTATATATTCAGCTAATAACATAATAAGAGTAACGAAATCATGATGAAAATTTCGGAGCAACCTGTAATACGCGTAACCAAAAGGTTATTCTACTGATTATGCATAAAAATGCAATACATTGATTATACTAGCATAGATAATTTTTATCAACTAAACGATCATAGTCAAATGGCGATCTCTTGATTTTTAATTAATTCTTCCTTTTATACCAATATAATTTTATTTTTTTGGCAACTTTACGCTTAAATCGTAACTCTGATAATAAAGAAATAAAAAGAAAATTCGACTTACCAAATTACCAATGAACGATGATCACATTCAGTAATTCTGTTCTTGTAGATTTTCGGTTCTCTAATTTTGTTTTCGATAAAACCTTTTGGAGGCCATATCGAAAAAGAAATATTCGACAAGAACAGATTTGCGCATGACTGGCCCGTATCCAGACGTGTTTAATTGTATTTAGGTCGTTTTAGTAGAAAACATTATTATCAACGAAACATTTTTCCTGTTTTTACAACGCTCGATAAATATGAATTAGTTTATTCATTTATATTTATCATGGGAGATTTATCGTCTTTTTTAAAATTCAGTATTTTTAAATTTCACCATTTGAATAAAAAAATCATTGTCAAGTTATCTTATAGATATTGAATAGATGTTGAACATAGATATATTTTAAATAAATGATGCAAAAAAAAAAAATATTTTTTTCCTTTTAATTTTATTTTTTTTCTTTTTTATTCTTTTTATTATTGTTTATTTTATCTTATTTTTTTTTTACATATTAATTACAATAAAATATTCACAAAAAATCCTATTGAAATTCTTAATTCGCAATCTTTTGAAAAATTTATTTAATTATTATTATTTAACATTATTTTTACCTATTTTATAAAATCATTCATTCATTATTCTTTTTATTTTTAATATAATTAATTAACTGCTTGTTTCACAAAATATTTTGTATTATTCTATAATAGATAATACAAATAATATAATTAATAAAACGATTCAAATTAAAAGATACAATTATTAATAAAAAGTATAACATGAATTTTACTTAATGTAAAGAATCTTTTATTAAAATTTTTACTAAAGTTAAATTACAATAATAATATAATATATTATAAAAATATTGCATTGTTAGTAGATGTATGCGCACTATACTCGTTATTCAATTATTTATAAAAATTCTAGCAGAGATACGAAAATCGTAATTCTAAAACTCTATTATTTACCGAACTATGATACCTGTGATAAAGTTTTCCAATATTTTAACCGAGATATATCGGCGGATCAAAAATATCGGAAAGTTATTTGAAATGTTTGCCTTTGTAAACGAATGTTGAGAAACTATGTCACAACTTTGTGAAATTTGAATCTTTTATATTCTTTTAGGGTTCAATTTCAAAGCTGTTAAAATTGTTCTTAATCTTCTAATATACGAACAAATTTTCTTTATTCATTTTCCACAATTTTAAAAGAAATATATATATATATACATATATATTTTCAAATATTTATATTTACCGTATCTGTTTTTAAAAAAATTATATTTCTAATAACTATAAAATATTGCATATACATTTTTTTTTAATACATCTAATTGTTAATAAGAAATAATTACATATAAAATTAAATTAAGAAAAAATTTTCCACTTACGTAGAAAGATATCGGCAATAAAAGTCTCGATTGAAGATTAACTCGAAGAATCGAGTCAACTCGAGCCACTCTCGATTTTTGATTACAACAGGGAAAATTTGTAAAAATGACACGTTTTCACAAGGATCAAACGTACTCGCTTATTTTTATCCCAGCCTATTCTATCAAAATCATATCGTTTCGAAGCTTAATTAATTAATGCAAAATCACCAAAGGTGATGAGAGATCTCGGTCTGTGAGTAAGAGGATGTTGGCGATCAAAGCGATCGGTAGCGGTAACGTGGTAACCGTAATCAGGTAACCGTAGCAGAAGGGGCTCAACACGTGTTGTCCCGAGATGCTGTTACACGGCCAGTCAGTCGGTCATCGTCTTCCATTCGTGTTCACTTTTGAAATATCCTGTTCGTGCGCGAACGCGTGGTTCCCCCCCATGTTCAACACGATCTTCGGATGTTTCACCGTTTATTCCATCCTAATGCTCTTATTCGCGAGTGTTGTACCGAGCCCACAATGGAGTGTCTCGTCGTGGTTGTCGTTCGGTATTTATACCTTGATCGCGTTTCCACGGAGCACGAACCAATGGTCGTTTCTGGGCTTGAACTTTTGGCCGAATCAGAGCGTGGAGAAACCTTCGAACGAATTCGATTTGATCGGAAATCCAATCTCGAAGGGTAAGTTCTCGTGGAGTGCCGTTTCGTGTTTCTTTTGTGTCCACCGTTTCCCCGAGACGTTCCACGAGCATCGTATTCGTGCGTTTGCCCCAGGCTTTTCGTTCCTTTTCGAATCTTGTGTAGGATTCACGGAAGTGTTTGGCCTCGAATGGGATGCCGTTGAAAAAGTTACGCTACGTTCCTCGAAAAGGATGAATTTGTATTTCCTCCTTTAAAGTTAATGAACAATTTCGGTTAGATTTGAATTGGTTAATTTCAAAGCGTTGAAATTACGAACGATATTTCAGTTTCAATCATCATTCATCGATGAATAAGTAGTATATTATTAGAACACGGAATAACTGCACGCTTCGTCAAATTTCAATGCATAAAACACTTACCCAAACTCGTACAGCCGCAAAGCGTTAATTGCCAATCACTAAGTAAGAGTAATTCAATCATCTTCCATCGTGGAGAGATCAGAAACCGACGAATTGATTACCTCGGTAATTGCGTGTTCATTATCGCGTGTCTATTGCACCAAACAAAATAGAATTCTAGTCGAATATCGAGCGATATTCGTGTAATTTTAATTACGATATTCATGAATTTATAAGTGGACGACGGAAAAAAATATTTCTCGTCCTATTTTAAATTTCCGCCGTATATCTGAAATTGAATTTACACGATAATAATAAAATAAAATTATATGGATTAAATTCAGATAAGAATTTAGGAAATGAATTAAAAGTAAAGATTAAAATTACTTTATTAAAATTATTATTTAAGATAACGTTCAAAAGATACCTTCATAAATCACCTTGTACATCTTGTTTTCGTTATTTTATTCGATTTCTCGTTTGCATCCCCTTACATGTATATATTTAGTTCTCGACTTCTTCCCCACCCCGGTGCAAGAGGAGTGCCTATCACAAGACAAACGGCGGCAAGGCGTATGCATGAACACGTATGAGTGTCGCATTCAACGGGGAAAGTCCCTTGGACGATGTGCACTTGGTTTCGGCGTGTGCTGCATATGTAAGTAACCGTACCATATTTCGTATATCCTGTTTTATCCACCGTCGATTCATTCGGTGTGTGAACGCATATTATATCCTGCGGTGGAAATTTCGCAGCTGGGAAATAAAGGATCTGTGCATAAAAGCGTTTAAATTTACGAGGATTTGAACTCACTTCTCGCCACTGCTAATTTGTTTATACTGCCGCGCTGCTCTGTGCAATTAATTCCTTATTCTTTTCGTTTTTCGTGCTTGCTGCTTTATATTCTTCTTTCTTTTCTTTTCTTTTTTTTTTTTCACTTTTATAAACAACACGATTTTTACGATGCGTGTCGTGATTTTTCTTTAGATTTTTCTAAAGGAATTTATTTTTGTGAGAATTAGAGAACGAGTTGAAAGTATTTATTTATATAATCGGGAAATTGAAGATTAAAATTTTGAATTCTTAAGAATTCTTGAGTTTCATATTTTTTTGAAATACGATGTCAAGGATATTACTTTTTCGAAGATGGGCCACATTTTTTTTTTTTTCATTATAAATTCCTTTCTCAAAATTCTGCAATTGAAGATTTTAAGAAAAATTAAAAATCTTCATTAGCAATCAACGGTCAACGATTGTTATTCAATGTTCAGTATAATAATGACAATGCGGTTGTTTTCAATGCTCTATTTGGATAATTATTATTATGTTAATCGAACATGTTGCGGCATGTTTGTGAAAATTCATTTAACCATGAATGCTATTCATTAATCAATTTGTGGGATTTTATATCATAGTAGAAACACTTTGTTTTCAAATAAGTTCTAACATCATATTTCTATATAGGTGTAACATGGTGTAATCGTAGAACTTATTTTTATGCAAAAATTAAATAAAAATTCTACTTATCTGCTCTCTTCGTTTCCACCCACATCGTGTTCTGTCAATCGTAAATTGTTCAGTCCATGAAAGCACTTACACGTACCACACTCATTTCACGTGAACATTTCACGGATATCGTGTCTGAAACTTTACCACGCGATGCACAGTACTATTAATATTGGTAGATTGAACTTGCGCAAAGATTTTACCGCTTTCTGGTTTGAAACTTTCTTCACGATAATATAAACACGAAATGTACCGTAATTTGTGATAAAAAGATGGTTGAAGATGGTTTGCCGAGAAAAATGAAAAATTGAAAGCAAGGTTTTATTCTTCGTTTGGAATAAAAATTGACTTTTATTGAAGATTCTTTTGAATTTCAATTTAATTTTTTTCATTCTATATTATCCAAAAATAATTATTAGCTATTATTATTAGTAATGATGTTATTAAATTAACTAAGAAACAAATATTGTATCTTCAATAGTCATCTCTAAAATCAATAATTTATTTATTATTAAATTCGCAATTCTTACAATTCTATCATTACTCTTCCAGATTAATGTTATGTTTTAATATTCGAAATTTTTCTTCGAAAAAGATTAAAGTTGAATCGTTCTTGCAATTTTATGAAATTTATAGTCTCATATGAATCCAATCATACTTTTTCCATTAAAAAATCCAACTTCCCATTTCGTTAAAGAGGCGATTCCAAACTTTCGACCGATAGTGTAACTCTTAAATCACACGTCATAACGAAGGGGATTAAATATTCCCCCCTCGTCCATTACAAATTACACGATTAACGCGACTTTGGATCCAATTAATTATATTGGCGTCGACAGATTTGCCGTCAGTGATCCGCAGATTCTCTCGTTCGAAGGGAACAAATGGCTTCTTGAAACGTGCTATTCTTCAATTTAATCGGTTTTTTTTACACGTATACGTATGCGTCAAAGTATTCGATACTGATAGGTTAAAAAATATACGTATACGTTAAAATTAAATTTTACATTGTTATAATATTATTATTTATAAGATACGAGCATTAAACATAAAATAATACATGTGTACGAAATATATATTCTTAGGATTAGCATTAAACATCCTGGAGACTTATTTATGAAGTTATAAATAATTTAAATTTGCGTTAAATGAAACAAGACGGAGATCGATACGAGACAAGTGTCCGAGTAAATATATAACAGATTGAAAATGATAAGAAAATTATAAATCGTGCATAATAATATATTTAATACTCTTTTAAAGGAATGCAAACAAATTTATTACTAAACTTGATAGTTAACGGTATCAATGATGGCCGGGCGCAAGGAATGAATCTCGAGGAACATGCGCGCCTCTGTTGGCCGTGGAGAGAAAAAAGAAACGAGAAAAGTGTGTGTGAGAGAGAGAGAAATAGAAGGAATAGGAGAAGGAATAACCCGATACAAACTCGCGTGCCAGGGTAAAACGTACGGCACAAGTTATACAGTTATTTAATTGGCTCTCGTCTCGTTCGTATGTCCCAGATCTCCGTGTTTCGTCGACCTTTCCGCCAATTTCTTCTTTCAGGATCGCGTCTGAAGGCTGCTGTGATTGCCCGTTAAGATCCTGCTACGAGAACAGCATCGCATTCCTGCCTTCTTTCTCCTTTTTCTCTTACTTCCGTAGAGATTGCCAGCTATCAACAAGTGATTCACGTTCGAGGAATGTTCTCTCGGAAAGTGATCTCGCGAGTTTTAATTTTTTTTTCGTAAAAAAAAGATAAGATTTTTATACATCGAAATTATATCGGTACTATCGAAATCGTGATTAATAAATTGAAAAGGACATGGACGATCGATGAAATTCGATAATATTCTTTATTTTTTTCATTCTTTTTCCTATTATAATAATAATAATTAATAATTGTTCTCTATTTTTGATATTTTTTTACATGATAAACGACGATAAATATTATGTATTAGTTAAAAAAATTATAAAGTCATTTGATATCTCTATCATTTCGATCAAATTTAAATTGATTATGATTTCTCATCGTACCGAATTGTGTATAGCTTTCTTCTATTTCTCGTTTCTAACGAAATATGATACGTGAGCAAATTCATAGAACAAGCATCCTTTTATTGTGTGTACGTGCTTATTTTTAGGTTAACTTGATAACCGTTGTAGACTTTTCTCCTTGGGATCATGTATATCGGTGAGGATACTATGTCGAACGCGAAAAACTCTTTAGATATCTCACACCACATCCTGTACATATATTTACACACATATATTCTTTGTACGTTGATACATTAAAGTACTTGTGAGCGTCGTGTTCCTCGGAAATTTTGTGAAATTGAAGGAAAATTGGAAAGCAAAGTATTTTACGTTGGATTATACGGAATTGACTATCTTCGTCTTTGATAAAAAAAATAATAATTTTGTAAAATAAGTCATCTATATTAATATACCGTTTGCCTTTGACGAATAACTGCTTATAAGTAATATTAATGTACATCTCGTAGATTAAAGTATATCGATTTTAAATTGAGTTCTACTAGGAAATTTTGGTGATCTGAAAATTTGAATATTTTCGAAGATTTCCAACTTGTGATTATATATCGAATAATATATATCGTTCAGATATTCAATAATGTCTAGTTTATTTTCGATAAACGAACAATCTTTGGTTATAAAATTACGAGTGACATTAAATTCTCGATTAATATCTGAAATAGGTTAATCTTTTCGTTTCGTATCATTTTTAACTTTTCTACTAGGTATAATATTCCTATAATAATAGTTTATAGACGTTCTTTAACGTAATTATTCTAATAGGTATTACTCGAACGAAGGTATTATGGAAACAGAGAGTATTATGGAAATACCGAAATCAAGTCAGAACAGTTCTCTAAAATAACATTCCGATCCCTGAACTTTCTTAACCTCGTATAAATATTCATAAGTTTTTAATATATTCCAAATATTCATCGAATTTTGTATATTTTATACGTCTCGGTAATAAATAGAGAAATAGAGAAATAATAGAGAAATAAATAGTGATATATTTATAATTATATTTATCATAAACTTAATTATACATTATAAATGACATATTACATCAAAAAAATTAAATTTACATAAATAGATCGAATTCTTTAATCGAAATAAAATTATTCTCTTTTCATAACTCGATTAAATATCGTATTATAATCGATAATACGGAAAGATCGAAATTACGATAGATTAAAACTTGATGTAAACACGATGGGAAACCGTGCACTTCGTTCAATATCATATTCCTTAATCGATTCGAAGAAAAATAGATACGTAACGTAATCGCACGATTCGTTCCATTGCTTCTCAGTGTTTCCCAATCTTTCGTGAATCGATCTGATGCGGGAGAAACTATTCCATGATGGTCAGAGGAAACGTCTAGTGTCGGGAATGCGTTGCTTTTCAACCAGTTCAGTTACTAACACCATAACCATCGGACTAACTGTTCTATATACTGTTATGCATATGGAATATGTTGTGTATTGGAACTGTACTTTCAAACAGTTTCCAAATGCCGCGGCCTTGATTCCTGGCCAGGTTATGTCTGATTTGCGAACGCGTGATGCGCGAAAGATCGAGAATACAATGACTTTAATCACAATCTTTCCTTTTTAACAAATTGTTTAATTTTACGGACCGTGAACAGATTCGTCTTTCCAATTTTATTGCTCGTAATAATTTTATTATGCTCCTCTAACAAGAGGACGAGTTGAAAAAGAAGGTAAGGAGAAGAAAGAGGGGAGGGGAGGGGAGAAGAGAGAGAGAGAGAGAGAGAGAAAACAAGAAGGAAAAATAGAGAATAAAAAGATGCACGTAGTAGAAAAGGTCAGGTCTTAAGGGCGTAACGAGACATCGTTCCCCGCAGAGACACCGCTCTGTAAATTTTTTAAAGTTGTCTACCCGCTTGTTTTCCAAGCGAAGGGAAGCGAAAAATATCTGCGCACAACTGTTAACCGTTTCCTCGGGGTTGAAGCCAGTTGAATAGAACCACCGTCACTCTAAAACGACCGCTGAATGGGTGAATAAGAACTCGTTATCAGGGCTTGGGGCTGCTTACGAGACCGTCACATTGCGATTAATAATCCTCCGTAAAAATATTTTCGCAGAAAGTTTTCGAGAAGTT